TTTTTTCTTTTACAGCTTAATCTAAAATAAACCTACCATCGATCATTCAAATGTAAGTGTTATTAGATCAATGTGCATATGCATGAATAAAATTTATATTTCATTTTGAATTGTGATAATCGTATGAATCCTTTTTTATACGTTGAATCCATAAATAAGCAAACAGTGGCATTGATACTTGTTCAATAATATATAATATTGATTGAAAATTTAATGAAAATTCTATATAATACATAACAAATGCTTGTTCTATAGCTGCAATAACAACAAATATATTTTTAAATGGATTCCAAAATGTTTTTGTTGTATTATAATTAACATTTTTATCATAATTATCATAAATAATTCGATAAAAAAATGCAATAGATATTCCTAATATTCGAATAAATGCTAACAAAATAAGTACATTATTTGATGAACTTAAATATAAATCAATTAATATAGTAAATACAAGTCCCAAGAAAATAAAACATATTCTACGAGCTATTTCCATCTAAAAAAAATGCTCTATGATTATTATTATTATTTTAAGAAATTGAACAAAAAAAAAAAAGAGATTATTAATGAATAAACTGTGATATACGTAAACGGAGATGCATTGCATTTCGTGCAGAACTTAAACAATTACGTTCAACAGGTTTACCTAAACCTATAAACCAAATAGAGATTGATATACCAATAAGGCAAAAGAGATTTTTTAAAATAATAACGATTGTTAATATATCAAAATTTAATAACGAATTATTATTAAATGAAAATAAGATAAAAATAAGTATCAATACTCCAAGAGCAAAAAACATTCGATCACGTTGTATACGTTGAATTGATTCTTCAACAATAAGACAAGCTGAACGAAGATTATTTTGTGTTTCTTCATCAACTATATCAATATGTTCAAGTGATGGTATTGGTTTTTTTTCTGGAATGTTTTCATCTATTTCAAATAGAGCATAAACAGCTAAATGATCTGAATAATAAAGTCCATTAGAATTATTTGGAACTTTATGTAATGTTGGATAAGCTTCAATACATTTAACATTATCTAGAATTTCAAAAATAAAATAGAATTAGATGACATTCAAATTTCAT